TATATTACTGGTACATTTACCCTATGTAACAATTAGCAGTATTTTTTCTGTTGGTTTTACAGATCTTGTAAATCTTTGGCCGCCTCAACAAGCATTCTATCTATCTTTCGTTAATCTTTGTTGATTCATTAACATACGACGCGAAATAACTTATCTTTATCTAACTTCAAATCCGCCACTTCAGTTAAATCCAACATTGAATATAAAATCATCGCAGAACTGGATTAATGTATTAGAACTAATTATTATTAAATAGTTATAATAAAAATGGATTTTTAAAAATGAAACCCTACTCTCGTCTTTATTATACACCATTATCAACTGATATGACGTAACGTCGGGAAGGTGACTATTTCGCGATGTAAACTCGTCAAAGGCCACCTTTCCAACGCTGCACAATTCAAACAAGGTAGGATTTGATTCAACTAACCCGGTGATAGTCTTACAATGAATTAAAATGAAACTTTAATTAGAATTAAAACATTCCATGATTGGGTTTTAAAGAATCTTATATTAAAAAAAAATTCAGTTAGTTACTGTCTGTAGTAATACAAATAATTGGATTAAAAAAGATATATCATATATAGGAATACTAATTTGAACAGCAAATTATGAGTTTTTTAAATGTCGGAAAACGCAAAAGGAGGGTCGAAAACTTGTATTTTTAACGAGATATTCAGCATATCTTAAAATTTAAATTACTCTTTTTTTTGCAGCCCAACAATTTTTATACAAGAGTTTGTACTGGCCTTGCATAAATTCAAACTTCCAAATTAAAATCCCGAGAATAAAATAACTGACCATCATTTCATGGATTACTTTATAACTAAATAGTTTCTAACTTTACATCTTTCGGTTAAATTAGCACTAATACTTTATATCAAGTAATAATAAGAATATATATATATGTTTGTACCAATAATTAAACATTGTTATGATATTTTTTTTTATTTTTATGATGATATGCTGAGAAATAATCTTAAAATTACAATTTTATATAAGCATATTCATAAGGTAGAGGACCTACCAACTTTGAATACCTCTTCTGTTTTCTTTCCATATTGACTTCTCTCAAGGCGATTTATTACGATTCCATTCTCCTCCAAATTCACCAAAACGTGTTTTCGTTTCAAGGCGCACATACTAAATAAATTAGTTTAAAAAAAAATAAGTTAAAAACGCGAAATGTATTTTAAAAAATACAAATTACAAACGATTGCAACACACCGAATGAAAACATAATACTGATTAGAACGTACGTGGAGATTTTTGTAGCGACACAAATTACTGATAAGAATGATATTCGAGTGTTTTAAGAGGCCATAAAAAGAAAAAAAATAAATTCTTGTATAATTCTTTTTGATTGTTAATCTTTCGCACTAAATGTTAAGAAGTTAATAGATTAACCTATTTGTCTCATTCATTGAAAATATATATATAAAAAAAAAATTGAAGTACATCTAAATTTGAAGCATTAGCTGAATACGAAATAAAAGTCGTAAAATAAAATATGGAAATTAAAAAAAAAAAACAACAGTAAATCTATTATTATAGATACTTTTCCGCCTGACGGCGAACTAACCGACCATTTTACATGTATTTTGTAATACAGATTGTATTATTTTTTATCAACCTAAAATATACGAAACGAAACCACAATTCGGACAATTTTTTTGATTTCTTTAAAAACTTATATTATACGGGCACATTGCCACTTTATATTATTACATAATTATTCTTGTTGCCAATTTGTAACCATAATAAAGGGGAAATAATTCTGATAATAAAAAGTATGGTGTTTAAGTTACGGTCCGTCCCACTCGGGTGTCTTCATCACAGTCCGTCCCGTTTTGTATATGTAAAATAAAATATGACTAAACAATTTTATGCATACCTGATAGAGAGACAACTTTTTTGTATTAACTTATTAGGACAAGCCCCTCTAATATTTCGCTTAATAATAATTCTCCAAAAGTTCAATAAACCGTACAGGCAATAATTAAATTATATCATAGATAATAAACCGATTAATGAGCAACTCGTTCCATCCCCTCTTTCCTCCAAAGCATCGAATATTGTTATCATGTTATACTAATCTCCTTCTCCCTTATATCTTAAAAGCTCTGGCGCCTACTGTAGTTATACGATGTTAGTAAAATTTTGAATTTTTGAACAATTTTTTGTTGTAACAATTTATCATGATAAAATTCGAATAAAAACCATTAAACCTGATGAAAACGGACGAAACTATGGATTTTAGAAATAAATATGTGTAATAATTTTTTATTTCAAAAATTATAGGAAAACATTCTTTTTTTTTTTTTGCAAAAATAATATAAATGGCATCAGATTTTATGCAGAATTCTTTTTTAAAGAAACATTTACTTAGAGAAATGATACGAGCTAAAAGTTGAGAGTCAAACCAAATGGTATGAGCAAGTAATTAAAGGTTAGTTTAAATTTATTCAAGTTAGAGGTGAACAATTGATTGTATTTCGGCTGCCAATTTCTACGACCTATTCTTTCTTAAAGATGAATAGATTATTCAACACTATAAAGTTAATGCAGTATACACGTTATTGAAAGCGAAAAATCCCTTAAAAAGATGAAGAGAACGATAAAATATCATTAAAAAAAAAACTTTTTAAAACGTGGTTGACACTCTTCAGTCTTGTCGATAATATTTAAGAAAAAAACACAATAAAGAAAAAGTTATACTTAAATACTGTGATTGTTGTAATTGTAATGTCCCAAATAATATTGAACAAAACAATGGTGTGCGCCATACTATTTAGCCGTTCAGCATCATCAAGTTTTTACAAAAAATTATTTCTTGAAAATTGGTTCCTATCATCTTTAATATAAGCCTCCGAACCGAAAATTCTTTTATTCCTTTCAGTAAAATTCCTTTATATTAAAACGAACTAAAAACTATTTAAAATTTTTAAGGGTCCACTATCCCTTAATAAAATTAATTGCTGAGGATATATTGAACCATTATACTGCTAAAAAGTTTCAGATAGAGATTGTAGAAAGTGTTTTCTGAATCCATAGTTCGTATACAGGCAATTGAAATTAATATTAATCATACATTAATTACTTATTGATTGTTATTTAGACGTTATTAAGCTTATGTTTTCATTTTTTTTCTTTTTCTGTATATATGGTGTGAATGTAATCTCTCCTCATTATAATCATTGTACATGAAACCGAATGTTATATTACTAAATAAAATAAAAAGTAATGATATATATTTATTTATAATATTCAAAATTTTGTTTCTGCTAAATTTTGTCGATTAAATGAAATTGAAAAAATAAAAATAAATAAAATGAACTATCTTATCAACGAGACTGACAAAGATAAAGAGTAAACAATAATAATAATTATATTTTACCGGGTTTTACTTTAAGATTAGAAACTAATAAAATTTAAGTTATTTCATTTATAACATTACAGTTATACTATTAGCAATTTATGATATTGGATTGATAGTTGGCTGTCGTAAATATATTGAAGAGAAGTTGGATATTTAAATTAATATTTAATAAATTATTTGTATCTTTATTACCTATTGATTATTATTTAGTTGTTATTTTTCTTGTTTATAAAAACTATTTTATAAAGACATTGCTTCTTCACAATGACTGAACACCCCAACCAACTTCTCTTCTATATTAACAATTTAATTTTTTTTTTATCATCTGTTTTATTAATTTATTATTTATTATTATTATTATTAAATTATTTATTATATTATTATTTAAAAAAAATTATAATACCGAAATTCTAACCGCCACAATAAATGTAAAAAAAATATTAAAAATAATATAAGAGCATTGTGAATTTAGTTATGTGTCTATTTCATACAATCCGTCTTTAAAATGTTTGCGAAAATTTGAGAATAAAGTTCAGTTGAGAAGAAAGTTAAGAGAATTCGAAAAAAGTAGAGATTTTCCTTTTTTTAATTTGCAAAAAATAAACGTAGTATTAGATTGATTACTAAATTATTATATTGGTTTCAATTAATATGCTTAACTATTTGCTATACGATTTCTATCGGAGAATAAACGAGATTTTAACAAAATAAATAATAATCGAAATTGGATAAAAAGCCAAAGAATAATTAGTCAAAATTAGTTATTTTTTTCCCTGCCTAAATTTAATTATTGAATAATAATACATTCTGCCATACCCATGGGCAATAGGTATTAGTGCTAAAGGTAAGTATCCATTCATACAATACATACATAAAAAAAAAAAAAAAAAAAAAATGCAGAACTAATTAAAAAAAATAAAATGAATTAAAATGATATATGAACTTCACAAATATATATTAACAAGATCAGTCACAAAGTAAATTAAAGCTGAATATTGGCAAAATAGGACTTTGTCTCAAATCTCAAACCAAATGAATACAAATAAAAAAAAGTATATAAACAAAAATAAAAGTCATCTAAAATTCATTCGTACTTATTTATATACAATAACTCAAGATTAAAAAAAAAAAATAGAAAGAAAATGAATTGAAATAAATTATTAATGATATCAAGTACCGATGAAACGAATAAAAGCAATAGAAGTATGGCGGAGATTCAAGACATGGCAAGAGAAGATCTAAAATCATCAGAAATTCAAGTTAAATTTTTAAAAAATTTATAATAAAATATAGAAGATATATAAACTTTAGATATATAAAATAGATAAATAGAGTATGGATGAAAGAGATCGTATGGCGATATTTTATTATAATGTAAATATAATTGACCGCTGTGGTTGCTATGTATTAAAATTGATAACGCCTCATTTTTTTATTTATAACACCCAAATATTGATAAGGGCAACGATATCGCTCATCATTCCCACAATATTATCCTCAACGTAAACGAAAACAAATAAACAATAGAGAAAATATCACAAAGTCAGACAGGCCTTAATGGTTTTAACATTTAACAGGCAGGAAGCGAACAGACGAAACAGCCAGGACAGACTACATTTACCTCCTTCTGTGCACGCTTCTTATGTGCACAACACATGATGAAGATGTAGCAAAGTGTATCTAATGCTAACTGCCCCAACAGCTAGGAAGGCCAGCAAAAGAGTGAGAGTGCGAACCTGAGCGGCTTAAATACTAGCCACAACCATCACACTTCAACCACCAATCGACATCACGATTAGTCACACACACACACACACGACACACGGCACTCGAGAGTTGTTTGATTATGCCTTTTCATATTTACAATATTTTATTTGAATGAAGCAAATGATTTGTACAATTGAGAGATAATTAAATATCCAATTTAAATCAATAATTCTCGCAACATAAAAAATAAAATAAAATACGATACGGTTACGTGGTAACGATTTCATCATCTAATATGTTTACTTGGATCTCATAAGTTTTTTTCATGCTTCGATACGTTGATATTAATTTATTTTCTCTATTTTCATAACATTAATCATTTAGCATTACTATATTTCAATAAATCCGCAACTATTGTGTAATATATATTTGGAGGGAACTAATATAACATCAGAAATATATAAAAAAAAAAAAAAGAATAGGCAGTCCATTAAAAGTGACAGTTTGATGGATTGCGACTCCACAAATATTACATTATAAGCTACACATAAACCACACACGTACCCACACGTATAGCTACACACTTTTCCACCCTTTCATTAAGCCGATTAATTAATTTAGCATATCGGCTTAAAATAGAATAGTTTTTCACTATTTTAATTTTTTGTTGTTTTACTGCCACCCCATTGGACCATCTCTTGTCTAAAAGAATAAAAAAATGTCAGATATATTCTTCACTTATATCCATTATCATGTTGAATCTGAAAGGAAAAAGGAATATATATACGTAGAATATCAAATTCACGAAAAAGACACACTCTTCTGCTTCTTGAAGGTATGCTAATAGATTTCGCTACATTTTCCGCTCCATATTTAGTTATACTCCATATTAAGCTCCAGTTAATAATACAAGACATAAGGAGCTTACCGGAGACATTGAGGAACGCGAATAATGATACTTCCAATTTAGACTATAAGAGTGTCATGAATAAATCTTTCGTAGATTTTAATCTGGACTTATGGCTTCGAGTCGGACGTGTCTCCAACATTCGATTGCACTAAAATAAAAAATAATGATTGTTTCCCTTCTACTATTCAACAACAATAATATATCTAATAGGTTATCACACATTTTGAGTTGAAATTATGTGATATCGAAATTGTGCTACTGCAAAAACTCTTTGGAGAGCAATTTTGGTGGAACGAAACCTTGAAGAACTATAACCATTATAAGCTACACATAAACCAAAGGATAATTTCATTGAATATTATTAAGATGCATGGACAGACTTGTCTGTTCCTATTAGTTATAACAGACTAAAGTCCTGGACCGCTAAGAGATATTAAAACGCTGAGAGAAGAGCGATGTGATACACGAGCCTTGATCACTAAAACCAACATGCTATGATGAACAGGCAAAATGACATTTTGCGGTCGAGCTCTGCTAGAAATAGAATTTCCGTGGAGAGAGAGAAAGCTTCTTCTAATATAGTTGGTTCTCAAGGGTGTGGTTAGTCGAATGCAATGGTAACATTATAACTGGCAAGACTAAATTCGTGAAGGCACTTATATTATTGCAATGATAATTTCATAATCAAGAGTACATGAAAAGATGGTGAGAGGAATAAAAAAAAATCTAATGCGCGCATCACACGACTTTCACTTAACACACTCTTAGTAAAAATAAATATTTTCAGACCAAGGGAAAATGAAAGTAAAAATTATGGACTATATTTATTTATTGGGTTGGAAAATAAGTACTTTCGGATTTTCTGTTTATTTTCATGGCACTATGATATAATTCTTATCTGATGAATTAATCTCTAAGATGGATTGTTTATCCTGTTTGTAATATATCAACAACTTTATATGTTAACTCATGTTGAAATTAACATAGTATTGTGTTTGCTATTGCGCTGTGAATATGAAAGAAAACATTCATTATCAGCATATTTTGTTGGGTAATTTAAAAAAAGGTAAGCGTGCTGCAGAAGCTCATAGAAAAATGTGCAGTGTTCGTGGGGTTCATGCCTTAACCCTCTGAACGCACCTGTCAAAATTGGTTTACCAAATTTCATTCAGGAAATTTTGACATCGATGATGCTGGTCGCCGCATAAAACTGAAACGAGAAATGTTAAGGCCATTGGTGATCAAAATTCCACCCAATCAGTGCGAGAGATTGCTATGGCCCTAAATGTGTAGCACACAAGCGTCGAAAACCATTTGCACAAGCTCGGCTATGTTTCCATGCTTAATGTTTGGGTCTTTCACATGATGTTTTTTTTTTTAAATCATGAAAAAATATAATAACTTCAATACGACTTCGGCTACTTACAAGAAATTCAGCAGGAATTTAGGGCCACGTAAACTACACAAAATGACATAAACAGGACCTTCGTAAACAAACTACAAATGGAGATGAAAAAAAAAAAAAAAAGAACATTCATACGGCTTTGAAGAGCAATAATTCAGTTTTCCAATGGATATAGTAACTTAAATTTGAAGATCATGAAGAGTTATGAATGATCGGAAGGGTGTTGTGATCCACCCCACACCCCATTCGTCATTTGCAATAAATTATTGAGCCTTGGATGTGTCCTTTTGCCACACCCTCTCATATTCATCAGACCTAGCTCCAAGTGACTACCACTTATTTCGGTATCTTCAGAACTCCATGAATGGAAAGAAATTCCAAAAGGAAGAGGACATCAAAAAAACAATTGGATCAGTTTTTTTAACAATAAACTCCAGACATTCTATTAACATGGCATTATAGTGGAGAGATGGGAAAAAGTCAGACGCACACACACTGACGCACGCACACACACACACATACATACATACACACATTTTGTGGGACTTAGGTATTTGGTCCCAGGGAACGTCAAAACATGCATTTCCATTGAAAGCTCATATTCGAAAAATTTCACGATCGCAATACTTATCCTGACTATAGACTATATATATATATATATATATATATATATATAGGTAAGTAAAAGTAATAAAAAAAATTAAGTTTCTTAAAATAGAAAACAAATTAACGTTATGATAAAGTAATTTATATAAGAACTGAAATCAGGATGAAAGATAAAGAATCGACTCTTACGTTTTCGGTATAACATCAAAGTTCAATTTATCGTTAAATTGTATGACGTACATGTTTTATCGACTAAAGTTTATTACAATGACGCCTACTATATTTTTTTTCTCCTAAAAGCATATGTGTCTACTACAAAACGTGTTATAGAAGAGATAACTCCAAAAAAAAAAAAATTCGATTAATAATCATAATCATACTGCTTAAGTTAAGCCGCTGAGGAAAAAATAGTCATACAGGCAAAGTCCCAATAGTCAACACGAGGAACATGCCAAAAGTAACCAACATGCCTTCAACTTCCTGAAGTGCTTCGGTATAGTTGGTTATTAGCATTAATGTGCGAGGCTAGGCATCTTCCTAACACATCCTTCTATAATAGGGACGCACTCAAGATACAGCGCTCTCCCCTTTCGACTTAGAGAATAAAATAGAAAGCACATTCTTTCATCAAAAGTAATAAGTAATAACAGTAATTGACAGGTGATCAGTATTTTATTTATTTCCTAGTAACTAAGTTTGTCAAATAGGAATCTGCATCATTTTGGAATCCCCTAAGCTATGAGATAAAATCCTGCGGAGACCAATGATGCTAACTTAAAAAGAAAAATAAGATGGTCTAAGTTCTAACAGGTCTAGTAAACCTGAAGCCAGGTCTAAAAAAGAAGGGATGTTTTTAGCAAACTGGCTGATAATACTTCTGTTAGAGTATTATTTAAAAGTTAGAGGGAAATTTAAAAAGTACGAGTTCGCGGTGCCGGAGGGGATTTTAAATTCTCCGCTCTCACCACCCGGCCCGGGAAAATCCCGTATAGCCTAAAAGGCGAGATAGGAAAGAACAAGAAAAAAGAAAAAAAAAAAAAAGGTTTTAGGGTAATTTGAATCCATCAAAAAGATAAAAATTTTGGGTTTTTTAAGAACACTTTCTCTTCGTTGCGTTAAGATACAATTTTGATTGATAGTTCATTAGAAAGAGAATGAAATACTGAACATTCCCCTCGTTACAGTATACAGGTCTGAATTTTAGTTTCTGATATATTTTAATCCATATCTTAAAGAAAACTCGTTATCAGTTTGTTTTCGACACTATTTTTCCATTTTCGCCTCTCCAAACGGCGTCGGGTTAAGATACAATTTCGAATAATAGTTACAAAGAGGTCGAAATGCCGAACAATTCCCTTGCTTACAGTATATAGGTCCAAAATTTAGTTTCTGAGATATTTCAATTAGTTTTGTGAATTAACAAAAGGAAGTCTTTTTGCATACGGATTAAAATATCTCAGAAACTAAAATCCGAACCTGTATATCGTAAGCGAGGGAAATGTTCAGTATTTCATCCTCACCCGAATGACCAATCATTCAAAATTATATCTTGAGCGACGAGGAGAAAATTTCGAACTTTATGATGGGTTCAAATACCCCTAAAATCTTAAATAGACCTGTCTGAGTTGGCAGACGCACATTTTCGTAATACCTAAAAGGAATACTATCAGTCTGTTAGGAAGAAAATTTGCTTAAAACCAGCTTTATCGGCCCTGGCACCAGGTCTATACTAATAACCTGTCATTTACTGGTGTTGGTAACCAGTGTTCAAAAGGGTATTGCATGAGGCAAGTTGCGCTATCAAAAGATCTGAGGGGGACACATTTTTACAGTGTTTTCAGATTCTGAGAGGGGCAAATTTTAACGAGACTATCAATCCGAGGAAACCATATTTTCATTGGATTTCAATTAAGAGGAATTTTCAAACCAGGGAACAAGAGAAAAACAGTAAGTGTAATATTTACATTTGTTTAATTGTACTTTCGCTTGCACTGTTTTTAAGAAGAGGAGGGCAATAAAATAGATTCTT